TACATAATATATGTATGTGTACTGTGTATATTTATTATGTATATATAAATACACACACATGCGTGTATATATTTAAAAAATATATGTTTTGTTTATATATAAAATATTTATATTTATATAAAATACAAATTATATATGAATATAAATATAAATATATATACATACATGTAAACATATATTTTTAAATATTTACATGTATGTTTGTGTATTTATATATACATAATAAATATACACAGTACACACATATATATTATGCAAACAAAAACTTTTATTTTGGACGCGATTAATCGTTTGACAGCACTAATAAATATTTCTAGCAAATAAATACGTTTTTCTCGCAAATAAATAAATAAATATTTTGTGGTGGGGCCAGTGAATTTGTTGGCAGGGCAAATAAAAATCTACTGGCCTGCAGAAAAAAAAATGTCCTGAATATGCCATGTGCTTCTATGCAAACTATGCTCTGTGGGTCTCACCAGATGATGCAGACAGATCCTTCTTACATCCTGAAACATCCTCCAAGCTCCGTGTATAGAAGTCTGCTTCAGAATCTGACTTCGAGGCATCACCCTTTATCAAATGTGGAAGATATAAAAGATTAGTTACCAGGTTTAGATGTTGTTGGGGGTTAAAGAAGCATATTAAAGGGTGAGGAACAGGCAGGTGGGCAAGCCGGCCTTCAAAAAGGCCAGAGGGTGACTGGTATCTAAGGGAGAGACATCCTGATTGGGGGAATCCACAAAAACACAGTGCCGGCATGCATTTGACAGCACCATGTTGCATGACCACTCTGAAACCACCAGTACTGTGTACTAAATATTAGTTAAATGTATTTTTGAGTGTATTTTGAAGCAGATTTTCTCATGGTCAGACCATCTGCTATAATAGTTTAAGTCACATCCACATGCAGCTGAATATGTGTGGGGTTTTTTCTCGGCTCACTGGACGAGCAGCACCAGTAGAGCAGGCACATCCAATGATCAAGCAGGAGAAATAAACACTGCTATTTTTATCAGAGGGCTCATCACATTGTTTGGCCTGTATCCTCTACATCCCCAGTCTTGCGCTGGTCTTAAAATGGCTTCATGCCGAGTGTTTCAGTGTGGTCTAGCACAGAACTTCAACCCTGGGTGGTTTGTCAAAACAGACATCACTGCCAGAGAGCATGGATCGCTCTCTCAGTTTGACCATTAGGGTGTCTATTTGTGGACTGACTGTAATTTATATCTAATATGAGCAAGATGATAAAGGATGAATCTTTTCCTTATCATGTGGTTACAGGATGTCATATTCATTTCAGCACACATTTACCATAGTACTCTACAGCACTAATGATCAAAGAGAACTCAGTTGAGACTATTCTGACAAACCTTGCACCTACGAACAATGTATCCCATTGGCTTCACTTATTAACATTAAGCTAAATCAAAACTTTGTGTTTCAGTTTCTGAAAAAAGATTAAAAAAAATCAATGCATTAGTAATGGCTGTGTAAATGGGTAAGTAAACGAAGCAAATTTGAGTTGCAATAAAACCAGTGGGATCATTGCAACACTAAACACAGCACAATAGAACAGCAATTAATTCACATCATAACTGCAACAAAAACAGTGAATATGACTTGTCAATAGGGAATAACACAATATCTACGTTACTAAGGCAACAAAAACAAAACTTGAAAATAGTTATGACACTGGAGTCGAGCTCTGTAAGTCAAGACACGAGAGGGACTCCTTGCCCCTTCTCACCAACAGTGAACAGTAAAACAAAACAGCTGTGATAGGTTGAACTAGCAGAGAGGCGCTACTACAAAGCATCCTCAGAAACAGGCCACCACCATCTACTGGGCACCAGGTGCAGTTAGAGGTTAGCTTAGCATCAGCACCCACTGTTACTCACTGCATGCTCAGAAATGAGCACTGTGGATGATGTGTCTTGATTGGACATGACTATCCTCACTCCCACATGGCCTTTCTGAGCAAAGAGATGTAGCAGAAACATAACAAAACTATAGTATTTGCGTAACAAGCTCCCTGACTTTTTGACCTATGCACTAGCAAAAAGCTGTTCTGTGTAAAACAAATTACAACCATTAAAAGCAACAGTTCAACTTAATTTGTTCACCCTCATGTTTTTAAAAAATTGTGAATGAAATTATTATACAAATGACTTTATTAAATAAAATATAATATATTATGTATATAGTGAGATGTTAGCTGCAACCAGATCTCAAGACCTGGATCAGTCCAGTTTTGAAAAAATCATTCAGTTTTGTAGAGTGAAGCAATTGAATCATTGAAAAAATTTGACTCAAAAGAAATGGTTTATTCACAAATCAAACAGATGTGTGAACAAATCATTCAGAATGATTTGTTTACAAATCAGATTTGTGAACAAAAATCATTGAGACCAATTCTGTGAATTGAATCAACTGATTCATTGAAAAGATTTGCCTCAAAAAAATAAAATATTTATTCAACAATTTACTTCATTACTTTATTTAACAATTCTTCTCGTATGTGTCAGCGTCCGCCGCCATTCACAGGAGTATTCACATGTGTGTGTGAATAAAATCGTTATTTTTGTTTTCTTTGCACACAAAAAGTATTCTCGTAGCTTCCTAAAATTACAGTTGAACCACTGTTGTCACATGGACTATTTTAACAATGTCTTACTACATTGATGGGCCTTGAACGTGTTGTTCCCTTTCTGTCTATGCAGAGTCAGAAAGCTCTTGGATTTCATTAAAATATCCTAATTTGTGTTCTGAAGATGAACAAAGGTCTTACGGGTTTGGAACGACATGAGGGTAAGTAATTAATGACAGAATTTTCATTCTTGGGTGAACTATCCCTTTAAGGTCAAGGTTTTCAATGAATAACTGAGTAATTTCAGTCTGAAATTTTAGAATGACTCCTTTAATTTTTGTTTCCCAGAACTGCTTTGATCAGGTACAAGGTGTGAAATAAATTCTACTGGGGCTGTACTGTCAATTAAGATGTTAAGGTTGCTGTGCAACTGCTGCTTAACAATCACAGGTCTTAATTTGGGAATTCTACTGGGCTTGACAAACCTTGCTGATAGAGTGATTTAAGGCATGTTTTGACATGAGATGTGCTAATAGCGCTTGAGTAAGGACTAGCATAGAGGTTTATGTAATTTGATTGTCAAGGTGAAGGACTGGAAGGTGTAAGAGACCAGTTCAAACCCTCATTGATGCTCTCCATTTTATGGCCTTCCACTGCATGTGTCACCTAGCACAGCTGCATGAATGAAAACAAATACGGGATGTGATGTCCAGAACCACAAACAGACCAAGTCTCCTCAACAGGGTCAAGTGCTTCCACTCAGCTCTGGCTCACTGAATGGACTTTCTCGATTGCTGAGCTACTGAACTCAGCGGAGGGCTATTTGAATAAAACTTTAAGTCTAGTTAAATAAAAAATGATGATACCATGCAGAGCAAATCTACAAGATCAAAATAATTAAAGTAAAGAGGTATTAAGAGACGTATCCACATATTAAACGATTTTGAGATCTATTCAAAAGGACTTTCCAGTTGCCTTATTTGCTTTTGCACAGCAGTCTGTCTGGCTTTGTCTGATTTCACTGAGGCTTTCCATAAGCCCAAACAAGGTTCTACAAGGTTTGTACTCTGCCGCCAGGCATTGAGCAAGTGAACCTGAAGAAAGACTTTAAGTCAAGTCTGCTTCTACAAGAAACAATCACAAGTGACATTGTCCACAAACGCAGTGGTCCTCCTGGTTAGTCTCACTGGGTTAACATCATGCGGAGTGCTACATACCCCTGAGTCTATAGGCAGCTGAATACAGCTCAGCTGACCATGCAAATCTTCCTTCTTGGGTATTTCCTAAAGTGGACATGTGTTAGGATTTTACCACACAGAGCGAAAAGATAAGACATAAGGGAAAAAAGCACAGAAAGTGTTAGAAAATTGACAAAGACACATTATGAGAAATCTGACTCCCACATTTCAGCAAATACGTCTGTTGAAGTAAAAGCAATTTTACATTTTGGGTGGAGTTTAGGCATTAGAGTTAGCATTCTCGGTACAGTGAGTTTGTGTAATTGTTGCCCGTAGTTAAAATGCTGCTACTGCAGGTATAAATGCTTGGCTCTTTTATTCTCTGAAATGGATGAACTCTTGTTTTTTCCCTCCAGCTCCTTTGAGATAACACATATTGAATTTTTCACATTGTGAATCTGTCAGAGTAAATTAGCGAATTACATCCAGAGAATGACTGCAATTGACTGAAATATTCAATGCGTATAACATTTATGTTTTTCTTTTAATTCTACAAACTATTTGAATTACAAACAAGATCAGACTCTGCTTCGGGTCAAATTATGACTCTCTTCGGTGCACAACCAATTTTTTAAGTTCAGAAATTCTTGGAAAATTATGTTCCACAAGAATAACAACACATTTAGACATTTTATTGTTATTGCCTCTGTAACAAGAACTATAACAAATTTGGGCACCCTTCCTCTGCATCCAGTCAGTCTAATGAGAGTGCTGGACATGTCATGCTACAACTTGTCAATGTTCGACATTTTAATTAAATTTGTCCATCTTTGTGCCTGCTTTGTCTTTTCAGAGGAGCGTGTAGTTTATATATGAGACTTAAATTATGCAATTATGCTATAACTTATTAAATAATAATATAATAAAATATAATTTTATAAGATTTTTTTATAATAAGATTTTTTTTAATACTTTTATTCAGCAATGATGCATTAAATTTATCAAAAGTGACAGTAAAAACATTGTTATACAAATCTATTTCTATTTAAAGTCCCCCTGTGGTGAAAATCAAGTTTTTTATGCGTCAAGGGATCCTATCCTTAGCATATCATTAACTGTGCTGCAAAGCAGAGGGTCTAGTGAGAAGGCAGCCAGGTTAATCCGATAACAGCTATATTTTTTCTGTAGATGTTTCGCTAACTGTTAATGTTTCCCCCTATTTTCACGATGTCGTGTGCTGTTAGCGCTTATTTATTTGTATTTAGAACTGCTAACTTGAATAATAACCTGCGGCAGCAGTGTAAAAGTAGCCCGGAGTCAGACGCACCTCTCCTGCATTGACATCCGCACGTCACACGCGTATGATCGCGGGCACGATTTGGAATCACAGACTTGGCTGCATTTGAGTCTTCAAGGCATTTTGAGGACACAACATCGTCAAGTAAGTAAATTTAACTAATG